AAACGAATCTCGTAAGGAAGAAATGGATTGTGGGTTTAGGGTTTTGGTTATAGACCTTTAAAGCGAAGAAATTGGAGATCCCAAAGTTTGGCGAAAATGCGAAGAAGGTAGCTTAATTGCAAAAAAGTCGCGACATTGAAGAAGATATATAAGCGTGTTTTTAAGTCAAAGTTTATACGTTCCTTGTGGGGCCTGAAACGGCTGCGTTTTTGGTTTCTTTTAATTTCGAATAGAACCAAAACCTAACCGGTCCCTTAACCGACATCTATTTGATATTTGCATTTACCTACTTTCTTCGAGCCACCACAACACGACGTATTAGTTTTCTGTTTGTGGAGGATTGGGCTACGTGGCCGAACAACGGCCACTTGACTAGTCAAAATAATTTGATTCTCCAATTATGTACCTTACCAAAGTTAAACCACCCTCCAACGAGTTTGACTTGGAGAATTTTTCTTAAATTGAAGACATTCATAGCTACAAGTTCTCATTCGAATGATTTATTTCTCTTAATTGTGGATCTAGAGATTTATAGACTTTGATTTTGCCAATCAAAAAAAATTGCGGAACGCTGAAAAAAATTCTAAAACGTTTTTTTTTTTTTTTTATCAAAGATATAAGTGAAATTATGCTTGCTAAATTAATGACCATAATAATTAATCTTTCAACCATAAATTAACTCAACTACCATTATATTTGTTTTTTTTGGTTGAAAATGAATGACCATAGTAATTAATCTTTCCACTATCAATTAGTTCAACTACCTTTATCTAGTTTCTATATTCTATTTCCAGTTAAATAAGAAAGCAATGAGAAGAAACCTAGAGTTGCAAACTCATGAGGGAGTTAGACCAAATGTTGCAACCGACCTAAGCTAGCTGAGTGGCAACTGAAAGGGTGATCGGGTTAACCAACCGAGGGGAGGCAGGTGAGGTTAGTAAATAAACATAGCTAATGGAGGTGTGCCGAATATATAACTAATGCATGATTTGGGTAGAGTAAATGATCATTCTAAAGTTAGTTCAAAGCAAATATGATGTAACCGAGAGATATGCGCGCGATGATCCAAATAATAACTAAATATAAATTTTTGTTATTTCAGTGTAGGACTGTCCATCTTCATTCAAAATCTGAAAGAAATAAACTTAATGGAGTAAAATGAATTAATTGTCGACATAAAATGTGATGTTCAACCTGAACGGGAGACTTTCACCACAAACCTAGAAAATTCGGTCGGAATCTTTCACAGAACTTTATGAATCTATCGAGAGTTTTGGTAAATTCACACTTGTTAGTAGCGCAACGGGTATTCTCTTCAAACAAATTGACCTTATCATTCAAATAAATTCAGATCTTCGATAAATCTTATGTAAGATATTTAAGAACATTAATTAATAAAAGTATTCTGTAGCACACAACAATTTTTTTTTTTTTTTAATAAACGGAATGATCTATAAGTAGAATGCCCGGTCAAACTAAATGCCAGGATAAGAACTTGCCCTTCCAAGCCAAACTAGGGCATTGTATATGCAATACAAGTCAACC